CCTGCCTCAAGGGAATAAAACAGAGAGGACGAGAGCAGGACACCTGACCTTCAAGTCCTGCACAGGTGCACACTCTGCACTCTTCACACACAGAGAAATCATGGATGTTTTAAAAACCTAGCTGTAGGGGGATGGAGAGATGGCTCAGTGGTTAGAGAGCACTGACTGCTCTTCCAGAGGTCCTGAATTCAATCCCCAGCAACCATAGGGTGGCTCACAGCCATCTGTAACGGATGCCCTCTTTTGGTGTCTGAAGACAGCTACAGTGTACTCATATACATAAAATAAATAAATAAATCTTAAGAAAACAAAACAAAACAAACAAACAAACAAAAAAAACCCCTAGCTTTAACCAGGTGTGGCATGATATCTCATACCTATGATCCCAGCTCTCTCAGAGACCAAGGATGAAGGACTGCTGTGAATTTGAAACCAGTCTAGAACACAAAGTGAATTCAAAGCTCACTATGACACAAAGGCCAGATTCAAAAACAAAAAGCAGACAAAAATCTCCCAAACAACAAAACCAAAAACCTAGCTTCCATACTAGGCTTTGTCACAATCTGAGAAAACCTGAGAAAGTCACATGACCTTCACAGTCAGGCAGAAGCTTCCTGTCTTCAAAATTGGACAAGATAATCTTTCTCTAGACTTCTCTTGAATTCCTACACCCATTAGGAAAATGAGAGCTGCCGAATAAAAACAAATCACGCTTGCAGTTAGACAGTGCAACCTGGACCCACATAAAAACCAGCTTTTTATTTTCTCCATGAAGGAAAATGCTTGGGGACATTTGGGTATACTGTCAATAACTGAGAAAAGAGCAGCAAGTCAGGAGGAAGGCATCAGGAAAGCCTGAGACCACAGAGAATAACAGACCTGACCTAGATTGGCCAATGAAGAATGGCTACACAAAAGCAATGACTTGGAAGGCATAAACTAGAATGGAAACAAGGGCAAATGACGATGGTCTTAGAACACATATACTATAGAACCCATAATCTGAAGGCAAAAAAGCCAAGAGCAGCACCCTTAAAGGTTTTCCTTGTATTCTAAACTAATGAGGAAAGTGGCAAACAGAGCATTCTGACAGCAACCTTAGCACTGCCGAAGCAGAGTGTTTCTACCTTGTAAAATCAAAAGCAACTGTTACGGAAAAGGAAGCTTGGGATTGCAAAACTCTAGACCCTAACCACTAGAGCTGACTAGGTACCTTATATAACTTGGAAAAAAAAGTATTTTCCATAAATGCATCATCCGGAACTCCTCAACAGTCAGCACTGACAAAACACACAGTCTTGTGTGTGATTTCCTTTTTTCTTGCCTGTCAGAGGTATGGCAAGAGCAGAATGTTCAGGGCACTCAGATAGGAGTCCTACCTCCTCCTTCCATCTCCTCTTCCATCCTCAACCTAACAACCTATCAATCAAGCCAAAAGCAAGGAAGCAGGCAGAAGCCAGAAGCTCCAGGTGCTTACTCCTTAACATTATTACCTCCCCCATCTCCTCAGGGGTGTTCAACAATGCAGGGCAGCAATGGCTCCTAAGAGCCATCTCAGTCTCTCCAGTAAACTCTGCCAGGAAGGTGTGTGAGAGCAAATATTGATATCACGAAGGGTAATACACATTCTCAGCTGACAGAAAATTCCTCAGTCACTGAGCAGTGTCAGACACTTCCTTTGATAGAGAGAGCCCTGGCGTAGGGAATTTGAATATTCTGCCCCTGATTAGCTAATGCTCAACATGGGACAATTCTAACCAGTATCACAGACTCCTCTCCTATTTGGAGAAGTGGGCTTTTTGGTGGGGGCTGGAGAGATGGCTCAGCGGTTAGAGCACTGGCTATTGTTGCTGAGGACCCAATTTCAGTTCCCAGCACCTACACAGTAGCTAAGAACTATCTGTAACTTCAGTTTTAGAGAACCCAATACCTTTTCTGGCCCCTGAATACATGTACATAGACATACATTCAGGCAAAACACCCATACACATAAAATAAAAATAAATAAATCTTCAAGAAGAAATGAAAAGGCAGTGTGGGATGTGGTGCTTTAGTATCTTCCAATGTTTGAGTTTCCCCTCTGCATGGTAGCTCCCAGCTTGATTACATCACACATGTTTTGCTGTTTGGGTTCTGCAGATTGTCCCTACAAAAAGTAACATTCCAAACCAGTTGTATCAGAGGCAAGCTCACATTTCAGGAGGAAAAAAAAAAGACTCTGCTTTTAAACTAAACTACAATACTAATCAACACTCCCTGAGCAGTTATTGAATGCAACACCCTGGGTTCCAAGTTCTCAAAAGCTGATGCTTCCTGAAAAACTCCTAACATTTCCTTTCTCATCTACCCCTCCCTACCTCTCTGGTCTGTCTGCCATCAAGATCAAGCCTGTCCATTCCCGCCAGCCACCCTTTCAGTAGGCTGCATCCCCAGACACTTTCCTTTCTTCCATTTTGCCTGTCCTCTCTTTCCATTCCAGAAATGCTTTTTCCTTGCAAAGTATGTTTATCTCCTAGCAACTTCCAAACATTTACTTAAATATTTTATTAACCAAAGACAATATGGTAGAGCACCTTTGAGCAACTGGGGTTCTAGAGTACAAGGTAAGGAATTTTTAAAAAGCAAACTCAGCCAGGTAGGTGCTATACACTAGTCATCCCAGCAATACAGAGGCAGACAGAAGCAGAGGCAGGAGTACTACCTCAAGTTCAAGAATAGCCTGGTCTAGCCAAGCATGTAGGTACACTCCTTTAGACCCAGTATTCAGGGAGGCAGAGGTAGGTAGATCTGAGTTTGAGGCCAAACTGGTTTATAAAGAAAGTTCCACTACAGCCAGGGCAACACAGAGAAACCCTGTCTTGGAAAACAAAACAAAACAAAACAAAATCAACCAACCAAACGAAAAAGAATAACTTGGTCTATATAGTAAATTCTAGGCAAGGTAGGGTTTACATAACTCAATCTGTATTGGGAGAAAAAACACAACATCAAATACATATATTCATTCATACATACATACATACATACATACATACATACATACATACATACATACTGTGAGTATGGTAACACTGAGCTGCACAACAAATTGTGTGATTCTCAATACTTTCCAGAAATTATTTTTTCCCAAAATATAATGCAACCTTTTATCCTCCCCTTTTCTCTCACTTGACTCCTCCACTTAGTCTACCAGGGAGGCAAAGTTTATGTCAAGTTACAATGAGGGGCAAAACTCCCTAGCACCAAGATGTAATAGCCGAAAGAGCAGTGTCTGTCGGGCCACCCAACAGTCTAGGCACCCCATTTCTTCCTTAGAGGAAGTCACGAACACATACTTAAATCCAACACAAAGCTAAGCAATCGTAATCCAGTCACTGCAGACTACAACTGAATTTAGAAGATTCCAACCCAAGTACTCTCAATGAGAAAATGAAGAACACCCTCAGAAATACCCTTCCACACAGAAGAATGATGATTGTGAACATGGATATATGGCAGGGACTTCCTGAAGCCAGATGTAGGGAACAGTCTAATGAGTCTGGAACAGTAGCAAGAACTCCTGGTACTCCCAGGCCTCTTTAAAACAGCATAATCCATCTGCACCCCAGAGAAAATGGCAAATCACAGCCAGCACAGGATGAACCATGCCAATTACCAGCTGGAACTTGACTCTACCGAGGTGGACTACAGCATCTGCCACCCAAACACAGGCAGCCTCTCTGGCAGCTGCCACTGGCAAAGGGAATCAACCATTGTATTATATAACTGGAAGAAAATCACAGCCCTGCTACCGAAAATGCCCAGATGTTGCTAAAAACTACAGATGTGCCAAAGGCAAAGACCAAAATACCTATAGCAAAGAAAACGCAAGCTACTACCAAAATTCAGGCAATAAGAGAGTGCTACCACCCAAATATATATATATATCAGTCTTTATTTATTAACACTTACATTTGGAAATATGTATTCCCTGCTGCAACTGATGTAATTACAGAGAAATCAATTTATGCCGCATCTGCTGTGATCAGCTGACTGCATAGGGCGAGCAGAGCAAAGCAGAAAATCAAGAGCCAAATAACAGCTCATCACCAGACCAGCTACTCTGTAGGAGAATGCAGGCTGCTCAAATTTGAGGCAGCCTGAGGTGACCCTAGACTGGAAACTATTCTGCTATAGTCCCACAAGCTTTACTTCCTGAAGAATCAACTAAGATCACTTTCCTGAGGGGAGAGAAGCAATCCTACTGCCTCCTGGGGTTGCAGACACCTATGCTTCCAAGTCAAGCAGAAGGGGAGGTATCATTACACTGTTTGGCAGCAATAAAACCACCAAGAGACTTTTGATTTCCGATGGTTGCAGGAGATAACTGGCAGAGAGCAATACTTTCAGGAGCCAAAGAATATTCTAGGCCAAAGTTTCAAAGCTACCACAGTAACTGATAAGGCCTGATTAAGTGCTGCACAGTATAGTCAGTACCTCCTGTCCCTTGTTTACTACACTGGTACCTTTATCACTTTGTTTTTGGTAGCCACCAATAGAATCCTTAGCAGATAGATATGCCGTGACAACTCTTTGTCCTGCCATAGACTCAGCAATATAATTTACCCCACTAAGAACATTAGTTTAAACATGTAACCAACCATTATGATTCTGATGATGAAATTTCAGCCAAGCAGGAAATCACATGAAGATTTAATGTCAGCATATAACAACAAGTGTCTTGACATGTGACAATAAGGTGTGAGAAAACTCACTCTATCAAGCAGCTCTAGGTCCCCAAACAGAAACCATGCTCCAAGAGGTCTGGACCTGCTGCAAATGAGTCTGTAGGGAATCCTTTAATTTGGAACAAAATCACATTATCATTACGGCTGCTCTGACCTTGTAATTGGTCATTACCCACACACTAATGAGCCGCCCACTGAGTGCACACAGCATTTGGCAGTTAGTCTGGGGCAGTTCTGATGGGCAGTGGGCAGCTGTATCTGGCCACCTCTTACCTTTTCAGACTTGACTTTCTTTAGTGGCCGACACTCACTCTCCCCTTCCTCTGGTTCCGGCTTAGTTCCCAAGGGATTGAGCGCTGCCCTAGGTTCAACAGCTATGCTCCCAAGGGGCTCCACAGCTCCCGTGTCCATCCCTGTATTTCCGTCATACTGACTACCCCGTCCACCCAAGGGAATTGGCTGGAGGACCCCAGGATCCTTTTCCGAACAAGTCCCCACACCTTCACTTCTCTCCTTCTTGCCCTTAGATGAGCTGTTCTCCTTTTCCTTTTTGGAGCCAGCTACACTGCGTGACGCCTTAGCAGCTTTCTCTGAGCCCTTGGGAACAACAGCAGCAACCAGGCCTCCTGCAGGGGCACCATCTCCTGAGCGACCCTGCGCCTCTTTCTTGTTTGCTGCTCCCTCACTTGGAGAGAACAATGACGTCCCTGGAGCGGGCTTGCTAGTGTCTTTGCCACTCTTACTCCTTTTGGATTTTGATTTGCCTTCTTTCCCTTGAGGACCTGGCACTGGGGTGACAAACTTGATGTTGTCTGGTAGTGTGGCCACAGCATTGGGAGCTGGTATTCCCACTTCCTTGGAGCCTGACATTTCCAGTTTCTGCTGGTCCTTTTCCAGATCGGCGTCCAGGTCGATGATGAGATTCCCTACTCCAATGTCCCATTCATCCCCACTGTCGTATGTCTCAACTGGGTTTGTATCCACTCCTTTCCCTCCGCAGGCTCCACTGCTCAAGGACATCTTAGAGTCAGTGTCCCACCTCAAGGTTCAAGGCTCTTCCTCGCCCCAGCTTTCCTATTTCAGCTTCTGCTACGTTCTCAGACCTGCCTCCTTGGTCCGAACATGTCCAGTGGACAACATCATTGCTGGAAAAAGAAGATGTTAAAAAACTGTTAATGAAAACAATACAGGCAAGGAGATAGCCTGAAATAAACTCCCAATACAAGCTGGACACTTCCTGTGTGGCTATCATGCCTCAGTGGGCAAGACAAGTTCAATTATATCTCCAATCATGTCACAATGGACCTGGAGAAGGTAATTCCCATTCCACCTCCTCAGGGAAGAATACAGTATTCTAGTTGTCCAAGACTCTGTGGCGAGTGTTAACTAGTAGTCTTCTACAATAGTTGTCCCTTCCTGAAAGACTTCACTTTTCCTCCCATTGCCAGCTGGCACTCCTGTCTGAATCAGTACAGGCCCAGCATATCACAGACTAAAGCTGCAACAGCTCTGCCCACACCTCCTTTTCTGTTAGCTGCTTGAATTATCAGTGACTCAGAACATGATCTAGCAAAAGCCTTAACAGCTCTCTACTAACAGGGCCAACCCCTACTAAAAATAGTGTACAGATTCCTTGTCATCCTAGTACTGAAGAAAAAAAAAAGCCTCATTGTGGTTAAGGGAAAGAATAAAGAACTAGGGAAACCCTGTCTTAAAAAAAAAAAAAAAAAAACTAGGGAAAATGCAAATTCAGTGTGTGACTGCAACCAGAGGCACCGTTCTTAGAGGGACTCAGCCTATCACTTGATTCCAGAGAAGCTACAAAGTCCTTACCAAACTCTAGGCTGGTAAGCATGTCTACCAAGCAGGGTTCATAAAGTCTTTCCTACCAAATATTTAGAAAGAAAAATGTTGTCCTTGACTCTGCAGAAAGCCCTTCTCCCAAAAGTGGAATGAATCTTCACTTTGTTATGGTAAGATTTAAAGACTTGACTAAAAGACACCAAGGCTTTATGCCACAGGTATATGATCAGAGACAGGCTTTACAAGGATGATTTATGTCTATCCACTGTCTTCTGGCTGAGAAGACATAGAGGGAAAATCACCTAGAAAAACCAGCAACCAATGTGTACTATCCAGGAGTTAAACTCTATGATAAAGCTAAAAGTTTTGTTCTTGCTTGCCTCTCTGTGTACCATCTTTCTATATCTGTTTAGAAAACAAAACAAACTTTTATAACACACTTGTGTGCAAAGAACAAGCCAGTGGTGTCACAGAGCAACCTGGAAATCAATTATTTAACAAGTAAATGAATCATATAGGACAAGGCAAGCTGTGACTTTTTACCTGTTCTGTTGTAACAATGTAGGGTACTGAGGCCAAAAACAAACAAACAAACAAACAAAAAACATTTTAGAAGAGTAGGTCTGTACCATGTAAGTATCAGATTTAAGCAAGAGGTGGGTACCTTAATCTGCAGTTTAGCTTCAGAGTTAAGAAGTTCACCCATTACCTATGTAGAAAGTTTATTGTCAACAGCAATCAATTACTGTTTATTAGCAAATATCAAGTCTATATAAATCTTGCTTCCTCCAGGATGAGCTAAATTAAGAGTAGGGGAATAAGATGAAACAATCAAGAGAATAAAAATTACCCCATGAAAGGTAAAGGAACCATAATCCCTGAAGACTCTGAGAAATGAGGACTTTGAAAGTGACCTAAGAATTCTAGAGAAATTGTTAGTGAACTGTTTGGATTCTTTAATACTCAAGAAGACATGGCGTCTAAGAGTAGTACAACAGATATTTGTTCATTCACCTAACTAACGTTCTTAAAACTTATTCAGGATGTGCTAGGGATTAAACGAACGTCAGAAAATATAGCAACTAATCACAGTGAATAAGGCAGTAGAACTTGGTACTGAAAGCAATTCTCTTGCAAGGGACCAAGGGCATTTCTAAGAAAGAGAATGCTTAAATTGAATTCCCACTATAGAAGATTATTACAGCACACTTTTCCCCCAAATATAATGTATCACCTCTGTAATCTCTTTAATTGTGGCTAGGTTTAACATCTATTCCACATTAATTAAAGCTTTACTCACCATCTCCAGAGCTGCATTATCATTAGTGTATAATTTAGTCATTGAATGACCTCACGTTGTTTTACCCTTGGAAAACCACTATAACTTTCCTTACGTACAAGAGACTTTTCTCTAGAAAATAGGATGGTAATAAAGAGAGACTGGAGGAGGAGAGAAAATGAGAGCACAAGCATGAAATTACTGAAACACTGGCCGGCTTGTGTAAAAACAACATAAAGTGTGACAATAAGGAAGAAAGCATTAAGAGGGTAACAGGCTGAAATGAAAAGATATAACTTAGTTGAAAGGACAAAAGGACATACTACTACAGGAGGGTGCTAGAGCCTAGTTGCTCATCAAATATACACAAAAAAAGGAAGATAAAATTAAACATAAATCAGTATCAATTTAAACAGATCAAAAAAGCACAAAAATAAATCTATGCAATAAGATCATGCAAAATTATCTTTTCAGAGTGCAAAGGGAATGAGCAATAAAAAACAGTAATAAAGGAAACAGATGCCACATTTAATACCACTGAAGAGACTGAGGTAAGTGGGAGAAAAGCAACCTACCAAAGACAAAATACACGCGCAGCACCTTGTGTAGACAAAGACTTTGCATGCAGACTGGAAACAGTCACTACATGTTCAACAAATTCATTTTAGAGACAGACTCTCGAGCAGCCTAAGATAGCTTCAAACTCCTGACCCTCATGCCTCTGCATTCCAAAGGTTGTCATGCATGTACTAACACACTTAGCTTTTTTTGAGACTGGATCTCCTTATATTGCCCAGGTTGATCTTAAACTCATGAGCTCAAATGAATCTTCTGTATCGGTCTCCAAAACTATTGGAATTACAGGGATGTACCTGGCTGTGTGAAATCATTTTTTCTTTAAAGGAAAAAATCAGCCAGGCAGGCAGTGGCAGGGCACACCTTTAATCCCAGCACTCAGGGGGCAGAGGCAGGCGGATCTTTCTGAGTTCAGGGCTAGCCTGGTCTATGGAACAATTTCCAGGATACCAAGGCTACACAGAGAACCCCTGTCTTAATCCCCACTCCTAAAAAAGGACCAGCACAGGCTACAGCTATGGTCTCAAAAATAAACAAAACACCCATAAAGCCAAACAAAGACACAAGGAAGAAGAGAAAGAAAATCTACAGAATTTAAAAGGCAATTTGATAGGAAAGAATCTTATACTAGAAGCTGTAATAAAATAAATGAATCTCTTGCTATCTCGCCTTCCCCTACCCCAAACAGGGTTTCTCTGTGAAACAGCCTGGCTGTCCTAGAAGTCACTTTATAGACCAAGCTGGCCTCAAACTCAGAAGTCAGCCTGCCTCTGCCTTGAATTAAAGGCATGTGCCATCATGCCTAGCTGTAAATAAATAAACCCCTTTAAAAGTCTTATGCTAGTGGGTCTGCTGGCAAAGCCATTCGGGAGGATAAAGCAGGAGGCTCACAAGTTTAACAACTACCTGGACTACAGTTAAGTTTAAGATTAATCTTTGCATCCCAGTGAGATTCTGCCTCAAAAGTAACATTTTTAAAAAAGGAAATCAGCTGAGCCAAATGCCAAGATCCTAGTTTCAATCCCAATACTGACAAAACAAACAAACATCATATAAAAAGTTTTACACTGTGAATGTTTGTAATGTGTAAAATGTTTTCATTTTTAAAAAAGATTTGTTTATATATAGAGATGAGTGTTTTGCCTGCATGTAGGTATGTAAGCCACATGTATCCAGTGCCCAAACAGTCCAGAAGAGGGTACCAGATTCCCTGAAATCAAAGTTATAGATGGTTGTGAGCCACCATGTGGGTGTTGGGAATTAAACTTGGGTCCTCTGCAAGAACTCTGTGTGTGTGTGTGTTCCCGTGTGTGTGCTGAGATTAAAGACATGTGCCACCATTGTCTGTGTAGCAAGTACTCTGAACCACTGAGACTTCTCTACAGCCCTGTTTTCAGTTATTTAAGTATATGTGTGTGTGTGTGTGTGTGTATATATATACACACACACACACACACATATATATGTACACACACACATATACATATATTTGCTCAAAAATTACATAGAACACTAAAACAAGTTCCATAAATGTAAATAATTCTTGTAAATACAAATGCTGAATTGTGTAATCTGAAGAAAAATTCAATATGAATATTAAACATTATCTTTACCTATTAAAAAGATCTTTCTTAGAACACTACTTAGAATTTCTAAATGTCTAGAACATAAAATGAAAAAGACATATCCCAAAAAATGATTTCTAGTGGGCCTGGTATTCTTTTAGAGAGCTCACTTCCTATTTCTGACAATAAAGAATTGCATAAGCATTATATTACTTCAGCCAGGTGACTTCAGAAATCCCGCTTTCAAAACTCAGCAGGCTTCATAGTAACTTTGGTGGTGCATTTCAAAATATGCACTGTAAAATTACCTTTAATTAGCCTTGGCCACAGCAGCCAAACCATTTCCCATCTGTTCCATACGGCATCCCTGGATTTATACAGCTGACAGTCAGCTCTGACAGGTCACTGCAGAGATGCTTAACCTTAGGAGGGAGGATAACCATCACACTGGCTGGAAATGAAAAGCAGTGACCTCCAGTCTCTAGAGACGAGAGTGCAGAACCAGAGCAACCAACACTGTCTCAGAGCACTTACACACGCAAGAATTTGTGTGGCTATTTTCCTCACTCTCCTCTCCTCCTGTGTAATTGTACTCCATCCCCTATTTAGGATCACCACCCAGCAGATTCCGATATCACTTGTCCACCAAAACTTGTGCCATCTGTGCTGTTTCTGCACATATCAGTAAGAAACTCCTGTCTGCATGGCTGTGGTTAAGGGACCAAGGTCATGACAATCACTCTTTACCCACACAAAGCAGTTACCTCGAGATCCAGTTTCCTATTTGGAAGCCAAATACAGCTCCTAGCCTACCAGCCCAGTGATACAATCATAGGCTACACACTTAATAGGTTACCACCCGCCTGTTTTGAGGATATTTGTCATAGGTCATACATACTATCCCTCTACTACAGGAATAAGT